CGCCTATTGCCTCTGTGATAATTTTCCATGACAAGATGAATGGTGTGAAGATAATTGCTATGCTTCTGGCCTTCTGGGGTTTTGCTTCTTACATTTACCAGAATTATCTTGATGATATCAAGATGAGGAAATCACAAGCCAACGTCAACGAAACCCGTCATGATCTTCCGTGCTGATCATCTTCATACTGATATATCCAGTAACAGTGCACAGAAGATATAACATCAAATTTTCTGCAATAATTGTTGCAATTCTTTATTGACACACCTAGTTTATCTGAGGATTCTTAGTTCGATAAAGCATGTCTATGTATCTTGACGTTGATATTGTTATATTAAATAAGATTGCTAATTTATGGCAGTTACATGTCTGTGACAGAGGAATGTTGTTTATATTCAGACTTAGATAACTTACTCAGAAAAGAGGACAGGCCAGAAGCCAAGAGAAATTGCCAGCTGAAACATACAGTTTCTCCTAGTTAGAAAATGCCAATTTCCTGGCACTGTTGACAAGTAACACCGTTGCTTTCTTCTTCAAATGCAAACACTAAGAAAATGTGTCTTGAGTCTCAAACAAAATTTTTGGTGCGTGTCTTTCTCTCTCTGTTAAGCCTTTATCTTTCAATGTAATCAACTAACCAACCCTTTAACTTGAATTGTGGTCTCAATCAAAACCTTCAAGTGTGCCTTTTGAATTGATTACTACTAGTATTTAAGAAACATATTTGGTGGTGGAATCAAATCAAAATCGTTCTAAACAAAAAGATCTTTGGGCCTCCCTGCACATGCATTTTCACCTAATCCTTGGACTAGGGTGGTTTCCCCCACAATGGAAATAGGAAGTGGGCATCTCTAGCATAAATGTAAACCCCATATATTTATATAGTTGCTGCTGTTGGACCGACATCAGAGACCAAAGTACCTAACCTCTTTACCCCTCAATTAAGGCAGGCTTAATTAGGAAACACTTTGTGTTAAAAAGTGTTTAGTCCTTGTTCTTGCTTTGAATCTAAGCAAGGTTTTGATAGGATATACATATATATATATATATACACTTTATATTTGGTTGCTCCAACCAACTACCATTCACATATGTTCACAAATAAATGATGTTGATAGATTTTATTTACTGTAACATTGGAAGAAAAAAAAAATTACATTTAGTTTTTGCTAATAAAGTCTTGGTATTAATTCTCAGGTTCCAAAACATGGTGATAAACACGTTTTTGAAAAAGGAAAATAAAGCTAGGTTGATTCTCACATGGATTTATTTACATGTCTAAGGAGTGCTTTTCACTCCAACCCCCATTGGTCACCTCCATTTTTTTACTTTAATTTTTTACCTTTTTTT